GCTCGTCCTGGAAGTCAGGACATTCAAGAAGGACATGCACGACCGTAAGAGGGACAATGCAACTAGGACAATAAGGAGCAGGGCGGCGCTCCATCAAGTGACCATGGGTTAAGTGAGTATGGCCAATACGCAACCTCACCAGAGCTGTTTCCCACTGCCGGTTACGGTGGAAGGAGGACGGCCAAGAGGAAACACAACATTTAAGAGTACGTAGTTTGTTACCAGTAACAGACAACCAAGAAGCCTGCCAACGGGTTAGGACGGAGGAATGGATAACCGGGTAAAAGTCGGAATACGGAATACCTTTACGAGAGATGGGACAAGAGCGGACAGCTTCCTTGGCGGCAGCATCCGCACGCTCATTTAAAGACACACCAATATGGCTGGGAACCCAACAAAACTCAACCGACTTAAATTTACTGTGAACAAGAAACAGCCAATGCTGGATCTCGACAACTACTGGATGAACCGGATTAAAGGACCCGAGAGCCATGAGGGCACTATGAGAGTCAACCACAACTACAAAGGAAGACTGACAACGAGAAAGCAGGAGACGAAGAGCATAGAGAATAGCATAAAGCTCCGCTGTAAAGATGCTAGTCTCCGGAGGTAAGCGACACATATAAGTGCGATCAGGAAAAACAACAGAGTAGCCAACACCGTCCGCAGACTTAGATCCATCGGTGAAGACAGAAACGGAGCGGGAGTGAGAAGAAAAGTGCTCAAGGAAAAGGCGTTTTAGAACCGTAGGAGGGGTAAAAGCTTTAGTGATACGGGTTAAGGATGTACAAAACCGCGGAAGAGGGACTCTCCACGGGGGCAAAGAAGGAACAACACGAGGAGAAACATTAGAAATATGAACGGAAAGAGAGTCCTGTAGGTGAGACAACCTGACAGAAAGAGGGAGGTGGTGAAGAGGAACAGGAACCGTAGGAGGGGTAAAAGTTAAAGCACGACAGGGGCGAGAGGAAGGATGTTGTAAGGACCGCGCAAGATAGCGAAGACAGTAGCGATCACGGCGGTCTTGGAGAGACAGGAAGCCAGTGTCAACATACAAGCTAAGGACGGGAGTCGAACGAAAGGCACCAGAACTGAGGCGCAACCCAGTATGGTGCAAAGCATCAAGACGGCGAAGAGTAAAAGGAGAAGCAGACGAGTAAGCAGGGCAACCATAATCGAGCTTAGACAGGACGAGAGAGGAATGTAAAGCAAGGAGAGTGCGCCTATCTGCCCCCCCCAAGAAGTATGGGACAAGACCCGAAGGAGGGTAAGGGCCTTAGAGCACTCAACACGGAGGTAAGAGATATGGGGAGACCAAGACAAACGAGTGTCAAGGAATAACCCCAAAAGCTTCGTGGAATCTTTGTACTCAAGGGGATGACCATAAAGTGACAAAGAGGGACGAAGAACGACCCGTTTCCGCGTAAAAGTCATGGCACAAGTCTTAGAAGTAGAGAACTTGAAGCCATGATCGGTGGCCCAAGAGGACACGGCATCAATTGCAAGTTGAAGCCGGCGCTGAAGGAGAGGCGAATCATCACCCTGACAGCAAAGGGTAAGATCATCGACATAGAGAGCGGAGAAGACACCTGAAGGAAGAGAGGAGAGCATTGAGGGCAACCAGAAAAAGAGTAGTGCTCAGAACACTACCCTGGGGCACACCTTCGTATTGCTGAAAAGAGGGAGAGAGAGCGGTACCAAGGCGCACCCGAAAGGAACGACGAGAGAGGAAGCTGCGGAGAAAGAGAGGGAGATGACCACGAAGGCCAAAAGAATGAAGTTGAGATAGAATATGATACCGCCAAGTGGTGTCGTAAGCCTTTTCCAGGTAAAAAAGGACGGCAACAACGGAGGTCTTCGCAGCAAAAGCAGTACGAATATAGACCTCCAAGTTCACCAGGACATCTGTCGTGCTGCGGCACTTGCGGAAACCAAATTGAGAAGGGGAGAGGAGGTGATGGTGTTCCAGGAACCACATCAGACGAACGTTAACCATACGTTCAAAAGAGTTTGCAGACACAACTTGAGGGCAATAGGGCGAAAGTCCTTAGGGGAAGTACCCAGAGACCCCGGTTTGCGAACAGGGAGGACAACGGCATCGAGCCAGTCCTCAGGGACTGACGACAACTCCCAGATCCAATTATACAGACTCAGTAAATACTGAGACGTGCACGGAGGGAGATGGCGAAGCATCTCATAATGAATACCATCGGGGCCCGCCGCCGTAGAACCGCAGAGGGCCAGGGCAGAACGAAGTTCAGAGAGAGAGAAGGGATCATTATCGGGAAGCTGAAGACGAGTGCAGAAATCTAAAGGACGAGACTCAAGGACAGGTTTACGAAGAAGGAAAGATTGGGGAAGATGAAGACCAGAGCTAACAGAAGAAAAGTGGGAACCCAGTATGGAAGCGACCTGCAACGGGTCCGCCACAAGAGTATCATGGAGGTGAAGGACTGGTGAAACATCGGGAACGAACTTACCCGCTATCTTGCGGATACACTTCCAGATCTGGGGCAGAGGAGTTTCGGACGTAATTGTTGAGACATAAGATGCCCAACATTCATGTTTAGCCGTACGGATGGCCCTATGGGCCACCGCACTCGCTTTCCGAAAGAAAAGAAAAGAATCGGTCGTCTGCCTACGGCGGTGCCTCTTTCAGGCTGCACGTTTACAGCGGACAGCCCGAGCACAGTCCGCATTCCACCAGGGGTACACCAAGAACGGGGGTTAAAGGCACAGTTGTCACGAGAGATGGAGCCACTCCAGTTGATGAGGTAGTCACCACTGGAAGCTTGGAGCTCAATCCTGCCCTGGAGGCAGGAGAGGAGCAGAAGTGGTCAGTCGGGAATCAGAGAAGCAACTTGGTCTGGGCCCAATGTAGCTGGGGCTACATAGCCCGTCCTTCCATCACAGTTCAACTTGGAGGCCTGGTCACCCATGCCATGAGTCTGAGAAGGTGAAAGAGTGTCAGAATTCAGCATAGAATGAACAAGAATAAAATTTAATCCACAATTAAGCCCCCACACCTACTGTGGAGTCACATTTAGGGAATAGGGAACCTGACAATACCTGACACCCCTTCCCTGGGGTGTATCGTGTATATATACAACCCACAATCATCACCTTAACACTTTGGCGTGCCCCGTGCGCCACTCCTCAATTGTGCGATTTGGGTCCCAGCGTTTCACGGGAGTGCGCGTTAATTCTGAAAAGTGTATACTCTCCAACTTTGTCACCTTAATTCTCGTCCTACGAGATTAAATTTGGTATCATTGTGTTTGCAATAGAATTCTCTACAGCACTAAATGCATATAAACTCCAAAAGCCCGGCTAATTACCTGCAGCAAACAGAGAAAGTGCGAACGAGTTACCCAGGAGCGCGCAAAAGCGATAAAATGAGTTCACTCTTTTCATTCTGGTCACCTCAATTTTCGTCCTAGGTCTTTCATTTTGGTATCAATAGATTCACAATAGAATTCTCTAGAGGAACATTAGCATACAAAATAAAAAACCTGGTCACGCTCCACCCGCCGACGAGTTGAAGACGGGCCACGTGTTAACCGCGAGTGAGCGCCCAGACGCCTTCCAGCTACACTCCCAATTCCTGCCCACAAATGTTTAGTATTTAGTATTTTAGTATATGTAGCATTATAGTTTAGTATTTTTTGTGTAGTAGTTGTACATCACATAAGCATTGTAGATAGCCATTTGCACAAAATAGATGGTCATTTTCTTCGTCCATTTGTGTGTTTTCCTTATGAAGTGATAATATTTGATCAAAGTGATCAACACCTTTCATGTTTGTACTGTAGTCACAGATTGCATTCGGTTTGTTGACAGTTACCAAACAGTCCCCCAAAAATCGGATAAAAACCTGATTTTTGGCAATTATTTTAGTGGATGACGCAATGCTGCATCATCCCCGAGATTACCGACAGTAAACGGATGACGCAATGCTGCGTCATGCCCGGGCGAAAGTGTTAAGAACCGTCCATCCATCAAGATCGGGCTCGGAAACGAAGGCAGGGTTTGACACAAAAGTTCCCCCCCCCCCCCTCACTCGATCACGTCAGGTACCACAGTTCTACGGGTGAGAAAGCATGCCTTCTCAACTCACCCGGCATCAAAACAGAAGATGACAATGGAAGGAATATTCAAGAATGGCACCAAGTTGGCAGGAAGGAACACTCAGAAAGAAGAGGTGGAGAGAAAAAATGACATTGAGGAAGAGGAAAAAGAAACCAGCAAAATTAGTAATGACAACTGCAGAAGCAGGCTTCAAAACGGCAGTGGAAAGGCTGTCCCATGCATCACACACTGACAGCCAGCCACGAAGCTCCCCTGAAAATAACAATGGGCTGGAAAGTGAGGGGGTTATAACTTAAGTGTGTAATGTGCCATAAGGCAAATAATTATCAAAAGAAGGCACCAAGCTTATTAAACTGTATTTAATTTACCCGAGGGCTATAATCTTCATAGTGGCCCAAACAGGAAGCCAGCTTGTCAAAGGTCTTCCCATTGTTCCCGAGGATTTGTTCTAACTTTATTTTAAATTGAAGTAATTTTATTAGCCTTTACAGCTTGGGCAGGTAGTTCCACGGGTTTATAACCCTGTTTCCTATCCTACATTGTGGCTTAAGCTTGAAGCCCCTTTTACTACAGTGGACCTTTTAAAAAAGTGGTCTGGATTAATATCATCCAATACATTTAGTACTGTCATGGGACAAATATACTGTACACTTCATCAATACAGCTTTTTTAACTAATGAATATCCATGTTTACTATTAATGAGTAAGCTCTTCAACAGAAATCAACATTTACTAAATTTAATTTTTTCATAACAATAAAATTTATTTGGGAAAACTGTTAGAGTTGATGAAGCCCTTACAAACACTCTTTTTCAATAAAGTTTGCTCTCTACTAGGTCACTCTACATTGTTACATGCACTTTGCACTCTCTTCAATCAATAAAATGAAAAAAGGAAAATAAAACAAAAAATTTCATATAATTCATACTGTTGCAGTTCACAAGAGATTGCATTGTCATTGTTAATATTTGTAATTATATACAGTTTTAATATTTTTAATTATGAGGTCTTCTGGGAGGTAACATTAAATGGTTTTTAGTTGCTTTAGATCATGTAAATAACAACACAGTTTTGACTGTTTTTGTTCTAATTAAAGCTACAGTTCAATGCAGTCAAGTATCTGCACCAAAGGGGCCAAGCATGAATATTGTTATTTCCATACACTATTATTCATGTCTTATGCACCACGATAAAATATAAATGGAGAATAATGGATTCATAGCTATTTTGTTATTATTTATCCTACAATATATAGTATTTAATTCATAATTCATTGTCTTGGGGGACAGGTAGCCAGTTTATACATATAGTACATATTAGGCTTATATCGAGGTCCATTCCCCCCCCCCCCCAGGGTCGAATTACTGACCCCTCTCCAGGATGCAACCCCACAAGCCAACTCCTGGGTACCTATTTACTGCTAGGTGGGCAGGGGCATTAGGTTATAGGAAACATGCCAAACCATTTCTGTCTCGCCCGGGATTCGAACCCAGAATTCTTGACTGAGTCAAGAACAAACCCGCTGTACTACCGGGACCCTAATTTGTGTTGGTAGGGATGGATATTTTACTCAACGAATATTTCACCTCCAACACTCCGCTTCAAATGCACAAAGGAATCACATGTGATATGTCAATGAGAAAATCAGTAGGAGCCATAAGGATTCGAACCTATTTTCTCACTGATACATCATGTTAATGTGATTTCTTTGTGCATTTGACATGGAGCAATGGAGATGAAACTCCTAGACCACACCCAAAGTGCTTGCGGCAATGCATGAAAACAGACTTGGTTTCAGTTGAAGCCTCAGGATCCCTTGAGAGTTCAGTTGAATCCCAGGTTGCATTGCTTTTGACCATGTCATGGTTTTGTGGTCTAACGCATGTGCTTGGGAGTACCCAGAATATAGGTTCAAATTCTCTGAAACCAAGGGGTCTGGGCGGCTGAATGGGCGGCGCTCGGTATTCATAGTCCTAAGGTTCTGGGTTCGATCCCCGGTGGAGGAGGAAACAAATGGTCAGAGTTTCTTTCACCGTGATGCCGCTGTTCACCAGCAGTAAATAGGTACCTGGGAGTTAGACAGCTGCTACAGACTGGTTCCTGGGGGTGTGTAACAAAAATGAGTCCTGGTCGAGGACTGGGCCGCACGGATGCTAAGCCCCGAAATCATCTCAAGATAACCTCAAGAATGGCTCCTACTGATTGACACGTCACATTACTGCGATTTCTTTGTGTAAATAATCACAATTTTATTGTCTAGACACACACTTAAAACTTAAAAATACTCACTTCAACTTTAGAATGTTTTAATAAATTTCATGGTATTACTACAACATTGTACTTTTTGTAGTAAAGTGTAGTTAACAGTGGTTTTTAAAATGTGAACACAAATTGCAGTGCTACTTTAAACAACAAGGCAAGAACTATGATAGTGTTCCAAAATAATTAATTCCTCAAGGAGAAAAGTAACTAAATGACAACTTCAGTAATATAGTAATGTCATATAGTACAACAGTAAACAATATCAACTTATTAAAAGACACCAGAATGTAGTGATAGAACAATCCAATATGCGGTCATTAACCCGCCATAGTCAACAATGCCTACAAAATCATTATACCACAGAGATAAATTTGTAAAAAAGTCAAAGGTGTAATAATATTTAGCTTACAAACATTAAAATGTATGTCTGTCTTTGGAAAAAATTGCTGTGTCCAAGGTATCATTCTTATTATTATGAATATTGAACTGTATTTATATATGAAGCAAAGTTATATTTACACTACATTCCTCCTGCATGTTAACATATATAATTATTTTAACACAAAATTTTTTGTTACAGCAGGATATTAAAATAACTATTATATTGGGCACAACTCTTGAATTTTTACCCTACTCTCAGGTTTAATTAACACTGGAGCATTAGCTATGCGGGACACTACTGCCGAAACATCTTTTTCTTTCAGCTCTGATCCCCAGATTTCCATCAGAAGATTATCCACAGTAATGTCGAGCCTCTTGTTAACAAATTCCTCATAACGACTCTGAACTTCTACCATGGGAAATAGTACAACCTGAAAATTATTTCAATTTAAAAGAAACTTTTACATAGGACACATAATCAGTGCTTATAGTATATAAAAAAAAAAACAACGTTGAATGTAATGAAACGCCATTTTCTGGGTGAGTCCCGGAGGTTCCCCGGAGCTATCCATGGCTGATATGGATACCCTACCTATTTTGCATCAGTCGATGTGGGTGGAGTTCTAGCCTACCGGGACCACGAGCCAGAACCTGGCCTCCTCACAGAGGCCCGGGGAGCAATGGCCCATAGAAATGCACATGTGATATGGAGCATTCTATATCTGCCATCGACCGGAACAGGCACCAAGGTAAGCGCCACAAAACAAACCCCTATTCTGGTTAACAACGAAAATTGACAAACGAGTGGACAGAACTCGCCCAAATAAAAAACGAGCAAACAAGCATGACGTCACACGAGCCATGCCGCTTGTCTGCACAGCTCCCCCCTTCCGGGAGGGGAAAGGGGGAGCCCTAGATCCCCAAGCCGGCGATCCTCGCCCCAGTTTAGAGGCTGGATATCAAAAACCGCGAAAAACCACCGACCGAAGAGAGGGATGCTGAGGAGCCTCTGGGACTCACCCAGAAAATGACGTTTCATTACATTCAACGCTGGTTTTCTGGGGGGAGCCCCTACGGCTCCCCGGAGCTACTTCACCAAAGACTACCAAAGAAAACCAAGGGAACTTACCCGTGAGGTGGTCGGCGCTCCACTCCTCAACGCGAAGACGAGACAACGGGCTGCATCCGCCGACCTAAAGCAACACAGGCCCGACTGGGCCCAGAAACATTCACAAGGTAGCGTGCAGCCAGGACCCTGTTCGACCGCCAAAATCCCCATGCCAGAATGTCAGCCCAAGATGGCAGCAAGAGCAGCAAACTTATGAACGTCATGGGCACGGGGATAGACCTCAGGCTGGCTGGACTTAATAACCCTGCGGACGACCCGGGAGACCCGAACCCGCGAACAAGGAAGAAGGGAAACCGGATCAACCCAAAGCGCGTCCCCAGACACAGAAGCCGTGGTGCGCAAATAACAGCGAAGCGCCGCAACCAGACACAAAACATGATGCACCCCCAGCCTGACCAACCAAGCATCAACCACCCACGGACCCCTCCGGAACGCAGCAGTCTCATTCTTTGCCAGAAAAGAAGGAGACAGCTGCAAGCGAACAAAACAATCACCACAACCAAAAAGAGCAGAAACGACCTTCGCCTATAGCATCAGCCTCAAGAACTGAGATGTGGGTAACCGGTGTGAAGGGTCCGGGGCTCCCTCTTCCCCCTCCCGGGGAGGGGAAGTTGCGCAGACAGCGATGTGGCGACATGTGACATCATACTAGTTTGCTTGTTTTCTGTTGGGGAGTTCTATCCACTAGTTCGGCTTTTGGTAGCAATTTTAACCAGAATAGGGGTTTGTTTTGGAGCGCTTACCTTTCTAGGTGCCTGATCCAGTCGATAGCAGACATAAAAGGCTTCCAACCACACGGGGGTTTCTATAGGCCCCTTGCCTCTCTGAGGGGGCCCGGTTCTGGCCGTGGTCCCTGGTAGGCCTAAGAACTCCATACACATGACTGATGCCAAAGTCTAACATTAGCATATCAGCCTGGGATAGCTCCGGAGAGCCGATGGGGCTCCCCCAGAAAAACTGAAAACATCAATTAGAGACATTGAAATAATTGGGTAATAATATTTTTGTGACAACTCCCGCCTGACAGTGCGGGTGAAGGAGACTGCTGCGGGACGCGTAACTTGTCAGCACTTCAATTTTGCCAGACTTCCTCGCCCTATTGCAACCAAAATACGTCCCCTACGATTTTTTTATTTGTTTTCCCGTGATCAGACAACACATTTTAACAATCTTAGAAGAAAAAGATAATTTTTTTTTTGTGCCTGGCGGTGTTGAAGGCTATAATCCCAACCGCCTCTCAAGGGTTAAGCACCCCCAGAAAAGCAAAATGGCCGCCAAAACAAATATCCCAGCCAATTACAGATGCACCTGATGCAAGGGTGCTTAAATCCCGACAGCAATATGGTAAAACCAAAGCAGAAGGGAAGGGGATGAAAACCCCCTTTCCCATTGCAAAACCCCAGCCCAGAAGGTACAAAGGCCCAAGCAGGGGGCAAAAGCCCAAACCCTCCTAGCGAGCTGCCCCCAAAGCCCCAGACAGCGACCTTGGGGCAGAGCCCTCATCCACGCTCACCATCCCTGAAGAAAAGGCAGAGTCCAGGGCAAAGGCTTCAAAGAAGAGAGAGCACCAGGGCGACCCAGAAGGGTCGCCCTGGTGTGACAAAAAGAATTATCAGCAGGATAATCGTTTTGAGTCCACTTCGATACCTATAGCAACTCATAAACAATCCTAATCATTTATTTCTTAAAGGAAATCATTGTGAGGACTTACAGTTGTGAACGTCAAGCCACTAACAGCTCCCCAAATTGATTGCACAGTTCACCACTTATGCCTCCCTGGCGGGGAATTGAACCCCAGTCTCCCGCATTACAGGCAAGGATACTAACCACTATACTAACGAGGATTAAGGTACTGTATTATACTTGTCCCTTTTCTGAGGACAAATGTTAATTTCTGAACACTTCTCATATATATAACTTAATATTTTAAAAGTTCTCAGAATATAGTCTCGAATGCCTATGTGCTAATAGAATAGCTGGTCGGGCAAATCACATTTTATCTAACTGTTATAATTATACCAGTTGAACGTGTATCATAGATTTGTATTTACTCCTTACTATCTAAGATCATTTATTTTCCATGTGTCTGTAGTTTTAATTTCCTCAGCCTAGTTTTAGTTTATTCATTTAATATTCACCCCATACCCATCATGTGGGCGGTAGTGGAAAGGGTTACAGAGGCACATAATGGGCTCAGGGACTGAGCCCATTATGTGCCTCTGCTGGGACTGCTGGGCTTGTGGGACTGCCCCATAATTCATTTAGTTAACCACCGTGCTGCGCCAAGTTTATTGTGAAATTCCCCCGGTGCGCATAATATAAAGTGTTCCTAAAAAATTCTTTTTTCTTCGTAAAATGACAAATTCCCTTCCCTGAACATGTCTATGTAAAAATAAATACCAAATTCCACTTACTTTGGCTGTGGAGACGTGGACAAGGTGCGCTGTGATGTCATAGGGCCTGGTCGCCCATGTGTGACTCGCCCAGACATGGTCGCATGGGCCATTCAAGCACCGGGTGTTACCACAAATATATTTTCAATTATTTGTTTTATGTATTTCCAATGCGGTTTTATTTTTTTTTATCGTATATGATGCATATTTGTGTTCTTTACAATATGTATACAGTAGAACATTCATAATGTTCCATGGAACTGTGATACATGTGTCAGTAATGAGTCCACAATAAATGTTTTTTGTCGCAATATTACCTGTTAAAAATTCACTAAAATTACAATATGTACAGTTTCACACACTATTTACACAGTAACACACTGTATTACACACTCAGTACTTCGGAAGTGAGTAATAATCAACGAAGTAGTCCATGGTACACAGCGCGACTTCGCTCTCGGTGCATCAGGTACAGATAAATTTTCGCTTCCTGTTTCTTCACTCTGTGTGCTTGCAAATAACGCACTCACGTACACCCTTGGCTTTAGTAAATGTAGGTTGTATGTAGCCAAGCTTGTAAAGCATAAGGTAGTCTTGAAAAGATTATAGGAAAAGATTAATTTTGTAAGGTAGTCTTGAAAAAATCGCTTTGTATGATCCCACAAGAGGAAGAGATTTAGCTTGCCTCAAAGAGTGTCCGTCAGTCAGAAAGAGATTCAGCTAGCCTCAAAGAGTGCCCTTACCTTGAGGTTACCTTGAGGTGCTTCCGGGGCTAGCGTCCCCCTTAGCGTCCTGGTTGCCGGACTGATCAACCAGGCTGTTGGACGCGGCTGCTCGCAGCCTGACGTATGAGTCACAGCCTGGTTGATCAGGTATCCTTTGGAGGTGCTTATCCAGTTCTCTCTTGAACACTGTGAGGGGTTGGCCAGTTATGCCCCTTATGTGTAGTGGAAGCGTGTTGAACAGTCTCGGGCCTCTGATGTTGATAGTTCTCTCTTGAACACTGTGAGGGGTTGGCCAGTTATGCCCCTTATGTGTAGTGGAAGCGTGTTGAACAGTCTCGGACCTCTGATGTTGATAGAGTTCTCTCTCAGAGTACCTGTTGCACCTCTGTTTTTCAACGGGGGTATTCTGCACATCCTGCCATGTCTTCTGGTCTCATGTGATGTTATTTCTGTGTGCAGGTTTGGGACCAGCCCCTCTAATATTTTCCACGTGTAAATTATTATGTACCTCTCCCGCCTGCGCTCAAGGGAGTACAGTTTTAGGCTCTTTAGTCGGTCCCAATAGTTTAGATGTTTTACTGAGTGGATTCTAGCAGTAAAGGATCTCTGCACGCTCTCCAGGTCAGCAATTTCTCCAGCTTTGAAAGGTGCTGTCATTGTGCAGCAGTACTCTACTCTAGAGAGCACAAGCGTTTTGAAAAGTATCATCATCGGTATAGCATCTCTAGTGTGAAAAGTTCTTGTTATCCAACCTGTCATTTTCTTGCAGTTGTGACGGCTACTTTATTGTGTTCTTTAAAGGTAAAGTCTTCAGACATGAGTACACCCAGATCCTTTACATTGCCTTTTCGTTCTATGTTATGATTTGCCTGAGTTTTGTACGTGGTTTCCGTTTTTATATTTTCAGTCCGTCCGTCAGTTAGAAAGAGATTCAGGGTATTCTTGAAAATATCTATGGAAAACACTACCATGGAAGCCGCTAACACTGTTCATCTATGCTACTTGTATCAGATGCATCATCACTGAATGCAGAAAACGATTCATCTATGCATCATCTAAATAAATTGGAGATGGCATAGGATTGCAAGGGGTGACGCTCAGAGCTACAACTGGATACGCTCGCTGTATCCTCCTCATAGGTGCTGTATCACTTGCATCCACCCTTTGTGTTAGGTCCTTATTGCACCTAGCTACACCAATATTATGACCCTTATGTTCTTCAAACAATAAGGTTTGAATTTCATTGACAGAACGTTATCTTTCAACACTGCGTCGGACAGGTGTTTGGGAGCCAGAGGCGCGTGCGCCACCCATGGTTGCTCATTCAGTTCTAACCCAGCCAGCAGCCCTAGTGCATTCTGGGAATTTTTTCAAGATGGCTGGCTCTCACTGGAGGTCCTAAGAGTCCATTTCGTATACAACCAACCTCGTATACATTTAGAATTGGTACCGAAAAATAAAAAAGTTTTTTCGGTTGGCGCAGTTTTCCGCCGACCGAGAATACTCGGTTGGTGCAGTTAAGTGGTTAAGCAAGCTACAATCTTGATGAGCTAGTTACAAAATTTAGTGTGTGTCGTCACATCATCAATGGGTTCAAGATCGATCACAAGTACAGTTTCTAAATTAAGCAACTGACATATGTGGAGAGCTAGTGTCACAATTGATATGTTTGTCCTGCACACCGCCCCCCCATCCAGTGGGCAGCGGTGGATAGCTTATAGTCACTTAGTTACTACTTACAGTTAGCAAACTGGGTATATTTGGCTAAAATTTCTGGTAGCAGATCATTTTGAATTAAATATTTACGCATCGTTAGAACATTCGTCATAGTACTGTCTCTGAATTCACGTATCTTTTCGTACTCCATTACATAGTGACGGAGGGTTTGCGAATAATTTTGTTGACAGTTTACATTTGGGGCTGAGGAAATTAAAGTGGGGGTAACAGGCTGAGGTGGGGTTAACAGGTTACTTTATTTGAATGATTGAAGACCCTGGCAATAGCTGGGTCGAGAGCCAATCATTCTGTTCAACCGTTCAACATTATAGATTACAGCACTGTACTAATTTTCTTTTTACTTAAGACCAGACAAAAAGTGTTGAAAAGATCTAATATACCTGCTTAAATGGTGCATTTTCATTATCACAATAAGCATGAAACATCATGGCGGCTTCTCCTGGGAGTTGTTCAATATTGTGTATGACAGCTGCATGTGCATCCCTCAGGCCCCGAAGAACATTATCAAATTCCATCTTCAATGTTGGATGATGCCCAACTGCATCGCTCTTTACATCGAACATAACAAACCTAGAATCTAAGAATAAAAATATTAAAAATCACATTACATACTGAATTGTATGAATGAAAATGCATGACATAATGGCCGTTTTCGGGAGGAAGCCTGTTGGGCTTATCGATGTCCCCCTTGGCCAACTACTTACCTTTTACAGGATGCAACCCACAACAGATGCCTAACTCCCATGTACCAATTAACTGCTATATGAACAGAGGCAGCAGATGAAACAAAATGTGCCCAAGCATTTTTGTCCTGCCTGGGGATTTAACCTGGATCCTTCAATATGGAAAAGTTAATGAACTCAACCAATAATATGAATAAGTATATGTGGTATGGGCCACTACATTAGATACAATGCCTCTTCCTCTCTGTTTATTTAATACCCAATATTGTCCAGGCTCTTTAGTTTCAAAAAGGGACACAATACATCATTAAATAGGTAGATGAAGGAAACTTGCTTCTTACTCTAAACAGCCTTTTTTCAAATAAAAATTACAAGAAATATAGATATTCTAGCATCTAATCTTGCTTGGTTAATTACACAATGGCTTACTTCAATGAACACTACTTTAAAACTTGAAATGTAAAATATTGTAAAACAACATTAGGCTTTAATAATATACACAAAATCATGCTTTACCTTCAAATGCTTCTTTAATAGCCTCTGCAATCTTGTGTATGAGGCACGTTGCTGTTCCTTGAGCATCTTCTGGCACCACCACAAGGATGATTGCCGGTTGGCTTGGACTGTCGACCATTATGGATTCCATCTGCCCAATTAGTTGAATCCACAAATTTCTTGGTTGAGAAAACTGTACATTTAGATATTTTAGGTCTGTCTTAAGATCTTCGTATACTTCTGTAATTGGTTTTATACGTGGCTTAGGGGCTTGAAGGTTATCAGTTTCCTTTAAACAAATAAATACTGATACTGAAACAAGCATAATCAAACAGAAGAAGAGTAGGATCATCATCATCGGTGATGCACCTTTCTTGTGATCCTTAACATCTTTGGGAGGCAAATCACAATACAGTTTTTTATCAGGGCTTCCCTTTACAGGAGTAACAGGCAAGTCTTTTCTTAAAGATCTAGACCCAGTTCTTGAATGGCACTGGGAGCGATTGCTGGCAATGGTATCATTTGGCGAAATAAAATCTAAGTGAGATGGACTCAAATTAGGTAAAGTCTGATATTCATCTAAGTCAGCCTCTGACAGAGCTGGATAAAGTTTTGGAGACTTAGGAGTACGCTGGTCCACTTCATCAATGTGTGTAGCATCCACAGCCTCTTCATCACTGTCTATTTCATCTTTTGTCTGTTAAGTAAAATATGTGCAAGGATGAAATTTTCTAGCATTCTAAAAGCTCAATAGATAAGCAGGGAGCACTACACATTACAAATGTAGCAGCACTGAAAAATATCTTCATGCCTAAATATTTAAAATATTTTAAAACACTAAAAATATCTGAAGAACTTAATATTTACAGATAATTTTTAAAATAAGTTTTGTTCCCATCTGTTTTGAAGAAAACCATATAGTACAGTATTATTGAAAGTTACAGATTAATTACATCCTACCTTTCGATGTTTAGGAGATTGCCCAACATTTATCCTACTTCGTGTATGAGGAGACTTAACACCTTTTGATGGAGGAGAATCATTTTCATGAAGACCTGGTCGAGGTGTAGGTCTGGTGTTCACACGGTTATGCATTTTTCATGTCTGAAATATATAATTCATTATGTTGGGGGACAGGCAGCCAATGTATATGTTAAGCATATATCGAGGTCCCCTGCCAAGGTCGAATTACTGACCCTCCCCAGGATGCAACCCTAGAAGCTAACACCTGGTACTTATTTACTATGAGGTGAACACGGGCAGTAGATGATAGGGAATGTGCCCAACCATTTCTGTCGCACCTGGGATTCGAACCAAGAATTCCCGATTGTGAGTTAAAAACAAACCCGGTTGTTATACATTACTTAGTCTTATCATCACTACTGTTTGTTTGATCAATTCACCTGGCCTCATATCTAAGATTGAGCCCTTAGCCTGCCACTATCAAGTTGATTCTCACCCCCTTTTCTTCTGCCTCCAAGAATATGTTAGTTTAAGTACGCATACATTTCAAGTATTCTATGTTCTTGTAAGACTCATTATACTGTGGAGCTTCTCTCAGTTCCTGTATTTCTATCTCTAATCTAAAGACTGAATGTTATGATCTTTCTCTTCTCCACAGCCAACTTGAAGAATAAAAAGCCCATCTCATTTTCCTTGATACCTTTGCTCTCCAATTTTTCAAGGACCATCAGTAGAAATTCATATTTGAATTGATATTTTTTCATATTTGTGTGTTTATGAGTGGATACCTAATAAAAGCATGGAAATTATTTGAAAGGGATGTTGCTTATGACAAATGGCGGTGTTTTAGTTTTTCCACTGTCTGCATATGTTCCACAGTAAACACTCATACAATACAATATCATTTGAAAGCCTGACTCTGCTGCTATGAGATTTCTTAGATGATCCATGGAGTTTTTCTTAGTTGGTCACTCATGTTGCTTCTGTCGCTCCTCCTGTAGGACTTAGATTCATAGAGAGCTGTTACTCTCAAGAATTTTAAGTGTTTTTTTTTTGCATCTCTATTGGCACCTTACCATTTCAGTTGTTGCAGCACTGGTTCTCTGATAGTTAAACCAGATATGAGGAGAGAGTACTACTGTGTAATTACCTAAGTGTAGTTACAGGATGAGAGCTACACTCGTGGTGTCCCGTCTTCCCAACACTCTTTGTCATATAACACTTTGAAATTACTGACGGTTTTGGCCTCCACCACCTTCTCACCTTATTTGTTCCAACCTCAATAACCTCTTGTTCTTGAAGTTCCGGGTCTCAGGAATTCTTCCTTATCAATTTTTATCGATTCCTGTTACTATTTTTGTACGTAGTGATCATATCATCTCTCTTTCTTCTATCTACTAGTTTTTGCATATTGAACACCTCTAACCTCTCCTCATAGCTCTTGTCCTTCAGTTTTGGGAGCCACTTAGTGGCATGTCTTTGCTCTTTGCACCTTTTCCAGTTTGTTGATGTGCTTCTTAATATATGGGCACCATACAACCGCCGCATATTCCAGGTTTGGTCTTACAAAAGTTGTGGACAATTTCTTTAGTATTTCACCATCCATGTATTTAAAAGCAATTCTGAAGTTAGAAAGTGTAGCATAGGCTCCTCGCACAATGTTTTTAATGTGGTCCTCAGGTGACAGTTTTCTATCTAGAACCACCCTTAGATCCCTTTCTTTGTCAGAATTCTTTAAAGATTTCTCACATAATTTATAGGTTGTGTGGGGTCTATGTTCTCCAATTCCACATTCCATAACATGGCATTTATTCACATTAAATTCCATTTGCCAAGTGGTGCTCCATATACTTATTTTGTCCAGGTCTTCTTGAAGGGCATGGCAATCATCTAGGTTTCTTATCTTCCCTATTATCTTAGCATCATCAGCAAACATGTTTATATAATTCTGTATTCTATCTGATAGATCGTTTATGCAGACAATGAACAATACCGGTGCAAGAACTGAATCCTGTGGTACTCCACTTGTGACATTCCTCCAATCCGATACATTGCCTCTGATTACGACCCTCATTTTTTTATCAGTTAGGAAATTTTTCAGCCATGTTAGAAGCTTATCTGTCACCCCTCCAATATGTTCCAGTTTCCAGAACAACCTCTTATGTGGAACTCTGTCAAAAGCCTTTTTTAGGTCCAGATAGAGGCAGTCAACCCAACCATCCCTTTCCTGTAAAATCTCTGTGGCTCAATCATAGAAACTGAGTAAATTCGTTACATTGATCAACAGATCGAAAACCATACTGCCTGTCTGATATTATATCTTTTTCTCCAGGTGTTCTACCCATTTAGTTTAAATTATTTTTTCCAATATTTTTACAATTACACTTGTCAATGATACAGGTCTATAATTGAGGGGGTCTTCCCTGCTGCCACTTTTGTAGATTGGAACGATGTTAGCCTTTTTCCACACATCAGCTACAAATCCTTTACACATGGATGCCTGAAAAATCAGTTGAAGTGGAATGCTGAGCTCAGGTGCACATTCTCTCAGAACTCATGGTGAAACTCCATCTGGACCAACTGCTTTCTTCTTACTTAGCTCCTTGAGCATTTTTTTCACTTCGTCTCTATACACCTCTATGTGCTCTATGTTGTTCTCTGGAATTCTTATTGTGTCTGGTTCCCTGGAGATTTCATTTTGCACAAACACATTTTGCAACTTTTCAATTAATATTTCACACATTTCTTTTTCATTTTCCATGAATCTATTTCCCATTTTCAACCTATGAATAATATCCTTTACCTGCAATTTGTTGTTTATGAATTTATAGAATAGACCTGGTTCTGTTTTACATTTGTCCGCAATCCCTTTTTCAAAATTTCTTTCTGCCTCTCTCCTCACTGACGTGCAGTTGTTTCTCACATCTTTGTATCGCTGGTATGTTTGGGTGTTTGGCCTCTTCCTGTATTGATTCCATTTTTGTGTCTTTTGATCTCTGGCCCTCTCACAATTTCTGTCGAACCAATCCTGTTTCCTAGTTCTGCATCTCTGCTTTGGTATAAATTTTTTTGTGCCTTTATCATATATTTCACAAAACTTGACATACATCTCATTTACTTCCTTGCATAGCAACAAGTCTGTCCAATTATACTCACTAAAAAAATTTCTAAAGACGCCATAATGTCCTCTCCTGAAGTCAGGTTTTTCAACTGCTTCAACCTCCTTATTTTCTTCCAGATTATAACGCATTGCATACATTATTCCCAAAAAGACATAGTTAATTTTTCCCAAGGGAGGAAGGTACTGAATGTCAAATATCTCTTCCTCCTTCCTGGTAAATATCAAACCTAGCATGGAGGGAACGTCCCCTTCCCTCATCCTTGTAGCTTGTTTAACATGTTGATACAAGAATGTTTCAAGGATGAGGTCTACAAATCTACAGGTCCAAAAATCCTCTGTTCTAGCTTCATATGCTTCCCAGTCTATGGATTTCAAGTTGAAGTCGCCGACTATCAACAGTCGTGATCTATCTTTATCTGCTCTTGCTATAATCTCTCTCATTACTGTTATAAGACCCCTCATTTACTATCTAGCTCCACCTTTGTCCATGTGTTGCTTGGCAGTGGACTATATGCTTTTATGATCATTAGTTTATCATCCTCATGGCAGATCTATACAGGTAGTGCTATTACGTCAACTTCTCGTGGATTGGCAATCATTATTTTCTTCACCTTTAGATGTTCTTTCACCAGCACAGCAATGCCACCGCCTTTCCTAATTTTTCTGTCCCATCTCCAAATTGAGTAGCTCCTTGGGAATATGACCTCATTTAAAATAACATCTTGAAGTTTTGTCTCCGTGAGTGCAACAATGTCTGGTGTCTGTAGCTGTATTACATCACTTAACTCCAGTATCTTCGATCTCACTCCATCTACAGTGGTACCTCGGAATGCGAGTGTCCCTGTATGCGAGTTTTTCGGAATACGAGCAGGATTTCCTCGAAAAATATGTCTCGGAACGCGAGGGTTACCTCGGGACACGAGTTTGTTGATACGCGTACAGGCCGACCCAGCGCGTGGTGGTTCGGCGATCGTCGCCCCTCAGTTTACCATTGTCTCGCGCCCAGTGACTACCCCACATCAATTCTTCTCGCGGATTTTCAGTGTTTTGTTGGATTTTTGGTGATTTGACTATACAATTTGTTATTATATATCTCACCATGGGTCCCAAGAAAGACAGTGGTAAGGATAAAGGCCACAAAGCCCATGTGAGGATGACAATAGAGGAGAAACAAGAGATTATTCGGAAGCATAAGAACGGTACACGTGTTGTTGAACTTTGTAGGCAGTACAACTAAGCCACATCAACAATATGCACTATACTTAAGAAGAAAAATGAGATTATGAGTGCTAAAGTGGCAAAAGGAGTCAGAACAATAACGAAACAAAGACCACAAATACTTGAAGAAGTGGAAAAGTTGTTATTAATTTGGATACACGACAAGGAGTTAAGGGGTGACAGTGTTTCGGAGGCCATTATTTGTGAGAAAGCCAGGGTTTGGACAGATTTGTGGTGAGGAAATCGAGCAGTGAGCCTCAACCAGGACCTAGTGGCACTCAGATAAAACGTCCCAGGGAGAGCACATCAGAAAAGTCTTCACTGCCTGATGTGATAATGGAAGGGGACTCTCCTTCCAAACAGTAACTCCTCTCCTCCTCGCCCCTCCTCACCATCTTCCATACGCCTACAGCATTCAACAGCAAGGTAAGTAATAACTTGAACATAGTTTTATAGGTTTATTTAGATGAATTAGGTATAAAAATTTAGTTTGATGTGGGGTTTTTGGGGTAGTCAGGAACGGATTAATTCATTTCCCTTTATTTCTTATGGGGAAATTAGCTTCGGAATACGAGTTTTCGGAATACGAGGCGTCTCCAGGAATCAATTAAACTCTTAAACTGAGGTATGCCTGTACATTGGTGTATAATATTTTCAGGAACATGTTCCCCTCTCCTTATTCTTCACTACCCCTCTCTCTACCAATTTTGTTGGTTTGCCTTTTTGTACCATTTTACAGGCCTGCCTACCCCTATCACTCTATAGAAAAAATAATTGATTTCTTCTTCATTTCTGCTCCCATTTAGACGTTTTGCCTCTACGAGGTTTAGTTTCAGCTTCTCTCTGTCTTCTCTTGAAAGATCTCGTCTTAACGACCACACTTTCCCATCCTCATCACTTTGTAATTTTCTAGCATTCCTTAGTATTTCTTCCATCTGTTTGGCACCGTTTAGGTTGATCCACAAAGGTCGATCTTTCCCTTTTACGTACCTGCCTATTCTCCTGTAGTCGCACACATTCTCTATTGGAAGATGTGTGTTGGATGTTGTTGATGGATGTTGGTGTGTTGGAGGACTTTTGTACACCTCATTTCTGGAAATATTTTACAGAAATATTGGGTTAGGTTGGGTTAACTCCATCTATCTGATACTAAAAAAGGCTTTTGACAGAGTTCCACATAAGAGGTTGTTCTGGAAATTAGAACATATACAGGCAGGCTTCTATCATGGATGAAAAAATTTCTGACAGAAAACTGAGGGCAGTAATCAGAGGCAATATATCGGACTGGAGAAATGTCATGAGTGGATTATCACGGGGTTCAGTTCTTGTACCGTGTTACGGTGCCCTCTCCTAAATCTTCCTTTATCAAGCGAGAAGAGTCATATCTCTTCAACCTGCAGGGATTCGTCTGACATAGATGACTGCTAGCAAGAGTATTAATTCGGGTATAAAATACTTATTTTAGTTTTAGCTTGCAAGGGGCTTATGCTCCTAGTGCATACAAAATGACGATGGGCCGACAAAAGTGCACCAAAATCGTGAAGACACCAGCAGGCTGGCGATTGGCTGGCAGAGGTCATGTGACGAGTTTGACCAATGAGAGCCCACCCCTGGGGCCGTGATGTCACCGGGAGGTCTGGCTCAGAGATTGCAGAGCGTCTGGCGCTCAGAGATTCACGGCGCTTGGTTGAGAACGGACGTGCGCTGGTTGAGCTCTCGAGTTCGGAGGTCCAGGAGCCTCATCCAGTGGAATATTGCAGCCTGACATATTCGCAGTGACTACAGAGGACTACCACACTTCATTGAAGTGCGAGTAAGCCGAGCTCCACACTAGTACTGATATTAAATAGAAAAGAGACCCCTGGGTGGCAACACTGTATCAAATTTGAAATGAAAGCGTTGCTGGGACCCAGAGAAGATTACCCAGCTGGTGATCGAAAGAAAAGTTGAGAATTGAGGTAATGGCCGGAGGTCCAGCAAAACTTTGTTTGTGTAGGTGGGCAGGCCCGGTGGGGGTGTTACACATTGCAGGATCGAGCACAGGAAGTGTGCGCTGGGCCTTCTCCTCTTTCCCTTGGGTCCAAGGTCAAGTAGTGCCGACCGGACTTGAGGCATGACTTGGAGAGCTCTCTGGGTGTGGTCAACAGTAACCCAGTAGAGGGAGTGAAGACCAGTGGCATGGGGTTATAAGATCATTAACATACACCTCTGTTGTTTAACTGTAACCCCCAGTCACACGAGGCCAAGGTGAATGACGCGTGACAACCGTTAATGTTCATTGTCTACATAAATGATCTGCCAGATGGAATACAGAATTATATGAACATGTTTGCTGATGATGCTAAGATTAATAGGGAAGATGAGAAACTTAGATGACCATCATACCCTTCAAAAAGACCTGGACAAAATAAGTATATGGAGCACCACTTGTAAATGGAATTTAATGTGAATAAATGTCATGTTATGGAATGTGGAATAAGAGAACATAGACCCCACAACCCATAAATTATGTGAGAAATCTTTAAAGAATTCTGATAAAGAAAGAGATCTAGGGGTGGTGTTAGATAGAAAACCATCACCAGAGGACCACATTAAGAACATTGTGCGAGGAGCCTATGCTACACTTACTAACTTCAGAATTGATTTTAAATACATGGATGGCAAAATACTAAAGAAATTGTTCATGACTTTTCTTAGACAAAAAAAAAAAAAAAAAAAAAACTGGAATATGCAGTGGTTGTACTGTATAGTGCCCATATCTTGAGAAGCACATCAACAAATTGGAAAAAATGCAGACACATGCAACTAAATTGCTCCCTGAACTGAAGGACAAGAGATACGAGGAGAGGTTAGAGGCAATAAACATGACAAAACTAGAAGATAGAAAAACAAAGACGATATGATCACTACATTCAAAATAATAACGGGAATTGATAAAATTGATAGGGAAGAATTCCTGAGATTTGGAACTTCAAGAACAAAAGGTCATAGATTTAAACTAAACAAAGCTGCCAAAGAAATATAAGAAAATTCACTTCCGCAGAGTGATAGATGGTTGGAACAAGTTAGGTGAGAAGGTGGAGGCCAAACCCGCCAGTAATTTCAAAGCATTATTTGACAAAGACACCACGAACATAGCTCTCATCCTGTAACTACAGTTAGGTAATTACAGCATATACTATACATATATTAAAATAAGTGATGCAGCAGAAAACTTTACCTACATAAATGATACACAGCACATTGCCTGAAATGACTTACAGATTTATATATATATATATATATTTTTTTTTTTTTTTTTTTTTTTTTTTTTTTTTTTTTTTTTTTTTTTTTTTTTTTTTTTTTTAGATATATACAAGAGTTGTTACATTCTTGTACAGCCACTAGTACGCGTAGCATTTCGGGCAGGTCCCTGGAATACGATCCCCGCCGCGAAGAATCGTTGTTGCAACCAAGCACACATTTTACTGTTGCGTTAAACAGAGGCTACAGTTAGGGATTTGCGCCCAGTAAATCCTCCTCGGCCAGGATACGAACCCATGACAAAGTGCTCGCGGTACTCCAGGCGAGTGTCTTACCATTACACCATGGAGATTGTAAATATAATATACCACGGAGATTGTAAATATAATATGTAAATTTAAAACACAGATGAAACATCAGTTTGGCAGCACCACACTCCATAGTTACAGGCTACCGGGTCAGGCTTCATAAATTCAGTGTCAGCCAGTTCCTGCACCACTATTGCATTACTTACTGGAATATGAAGTAACTGAAGCCCTGCGCATCAAACTCAACATTAATCCAACAAGAGCAGCTGTATAAGATGCAAAATCCACAGCGACTACAATGGTTAGAAAAGCAGTTGAAGAATGAGACACACTGGTGAACACTGTACATCTATATCCGCCACCAAGATAATGTTATTAAAACAAGACTAAAATCAGTATGCTAAAACAGAAGCGGAAAAGAAATGAAGGAAAAGGAGGAAACCCCACCTCCATTTAAAACTTTAACTCAAATATCACAGTATATTTATATTTAAATATCACATATATTATATATATATAGTACAGTATATATTATCGCAAATAACTGAACTCAATTATGGGCTCACTATAGCCCGTGCTACATGGATATTTTGTTCAGAGTAGCTAAATCTAAAACAACAACACTTCTTGCACAGAGGAGCACAAGTAGGGTAATGATGGTACTGCAGCAGTCTCTACAGTACCTATTCAAAAAATTAGAGCAGATCTTATAAACATTTAAGATAATGTGAATGTTTTACAACTTCTTTCTTCTTGGTGGTACATGCAGTTTGCATGAAGGGTTATTTCCAACTTTATTCTGGCAACTTTATTTATGAATCATTTAACTCTTCAAAGATCACACCTTAAAGCTTAACCCTTTAACTGCGCAACGCGCCTGCAGGCCTACGTCTGGGGTGCGCTATGCGCCTCCGGGTATTTGTATTTTTCACGTTCCATTCAAAACTCCGGTGGCTACATGGGGTTCTCATCAGCTTCCTCAATATATACAGTGGTACCTTGGAATACAAGCGACCCCATTTACGAGTTTTTTGGAATACGAGCAGTATTTCATCGGAAAATTTAAATCGGAATACGAGGGTTACCTCGGAATCCGAGTTTGTTGATACGCGTACAGGCTGACCTAGCACGTGGTGGCACAGCGATCGACGCTCAGTTTACCAGTGCCTCGCGCCCAGTGACTATCCTGCCTGAATTCTTCTCTAGGATTTTCAGTGTTTTGTTGGATTTTTGGTCATTTGACCATAAAAGGTGTCATTATATATCTTGCAATGGGTCCCAAGAAAGCCAGTGGTAAGGTTCAAGCCAAGAAATCACATGTGAGGATGACAATAGAGGAAAAGCGAGAGATCATTCAGAAGCATGTAAATGGTACACGTGTTGTTGAACTTTGTAGGCATTATAACAAATCCACGTCAACGATAAGCACTATACTTGCCGAGAAAAAGGACATTATGAGTGCTAACGTGGCAAAAGGCGTAAGAACAATCACGAAACAAAGACCACAAATACTTGAGGATGTTGAAAAGAAGGAGAAGTGTCAGATGTGGAAAGAAATGCAAACTTTGATTGAAATGACTCACCCAGAGAAAGCTGTAGTAGGCTGTTGCATTAATCTTTTCAATGACAATGTGATGCCTCACTACAGACATCTTGCGAAGAAGGGAAAAACAATCTTCCATGGACAGATTTGTTGTAAGAAAATCGAGCAGTGATCCACAACCAGGACCTAATGGTATGCAGGCAAAATGTGCCAGTGTGTGCACACCAGAGAGGTCCTCACTGCTTGATGTTATAATGGAAGGGGACTCCCCTTCCACACAGTAACATCTCTCCTCCTTCCCCCTCCTCACCATCTTCCATACGCCATCAGCAAGGGTAAGTAATAACTTGAACATAGTTTTGTACTGTAAATTTAGATGAATTAGATATAAAATTTAGTTTGAAGTGAGGTTTTTGGGTAGTCAGGAATGGATTAATTCATTTCCCATTATTTCTTATGGGGAAATTAACTTCGGATTACGAGTTTTCGGAATACGAGCTGTCTCCAGGAACGGATTAAACTATTAAACCGAGGTACTGTACCACTGTATATAACTTGTATTATTTAGCCATGATAGTATTACAGAAGAGCCTGAGTGTGATAATGACTGTGTACAATGTTCAAATATTAGTGATTCAATGCTGTTCACGATGTTCACAGCGCTAGCCACAGCACCACAGCATTATTTCATCCATCTAGGAATCTTCAAATGACTTCTTAGGTTCCTTTACAAAATAAACTTGTGGTCAATTATTTACTTACAGGATTTAGTGACCAGTATTGTGATAACAGCAAGATTGTGGTGATAATAAGCACTGTGCGTAGTATTGTGGGAGGAGTAATTGTGGTGAGGGAGCGAGGGAGAGAATCGAGGTAGCTTCACTGTGTGGCAGCTACTCTTGTTTTGCTCATCATACTAGCTTAGTGGTTCGCTATGGTGAACACATTTGTACATGGGTATATACAATGTGTGTATATAGTGTAATAACAGCAACAGGAATATGTTGGGAGAAGCTATTTTGGTGAGGGAGGCGACGTAATCGTAGCGTCGTGTGCTGGCTGCTGTGTGATTTCTCATGCAGTGTATGGTGGCCACTGTAAAGTTTGAACACAATACCAGCTTACTTGCATAGTTCTGGTGAATAAAACATGTAGTTAGGTATACATAACATGTGTAAATAGTGTAATACAAACAATAACAATATGGTGAGAGGAGCAATGTTGGCGAGTAAGATGTTGGAGAAGTGAGGGAGAGACTGGATGTTGGAGGAGTGAGGGTGTGGCAGCTGACACTCGCGGAGTTCTGAGTGTGTTCATGGTGAATGTATATAGTGTGTAAATAGACTGTATATATACATAAATTAGCATAATACAATGGAAATATGTACCGGATATGTGTTCACATGTGTCATGCACGTAACACAGTGTCTTCAGACAGTACGGATGTTCCACTGCCATAATATAGTGTATGTGTTCATTATATGTAGGATTGGCCCGTAAAAGCATATAAAATGTATTTGGAACTGTGCGCAGAAAATGAATAAAAATATATTCATAGCAACTCGCGCATCCTGCCCCAAGCGCCCTACCGGCCCCGGGGGCGTACCCCACGGGTGACCAGGGAATGATGTCACGCACGAACTTACGGACCCCATAGCAGCTAAAGTACTTACAATTTTGACCTTCTGTTAATATACCCTTACTCAGAGAAGGGTTTTTGACACTTTAAAAACAGAAAAGAATTTTTTCCAGAGATTTTATTTCCTGTGCACTGGGGGGGGGGGGGGTGTCATATTTGGAGGCCGCGCAGTTAAGGGGTTAAGTGAAAATTCATCACAGAAGATTCCTCATTAATTTATATAAGTGTATCTATAGAACTCGTAGAAACAAGACATTATTGGTCCACTTATCAGACAAACGTTAATTATGAGGAGGAAGAGCTAAGCCAGTATGACACAGCAGTCTCCATGGCGTAGTGGTAATACGCTCGCCTGGCGTTTTGTGAGCGCTTTGTCCTAGGTTCATATCCTGAAATCTCCGGGAAAGATTTACAGGGTGCAAATCTTTAACTGTATCCTCTGTTTACCCAACAGTAAAAATGGGTACCTAGTTGTTAAACGATTTGGTAGGTAATATTCCAGGGATGAAGCGCTAAACACGATTTTTTTTTTTTTAATATCGTGTTTAGCACTTCGGTTTTCCAGTTAAATTTTAAAAGTCGTGTTTAGTGCTTCAGGTGTCCTTATACATTTTTGATGGGCCATTTAAGACGTCGGATTTCCTGATAAATTTCCGATTTTGAGATGAAGAATTCCTACGAGGAAAATAATTTCAGAGTTCATGGAAGTTTCTTAAAGAAAAATTCAGGGACAAAGTTCCTTCCCTTCTTACTGACAATAAACTCTAAGGTCATTTTTCTTTTTTTTTCAAAATCACTCATTTGGAGTTAAAAAGTTCTTATGGGGAAATTCAGACCAATAATCACTTATATGTTCTTAAAGGATTCTTAAGGGGAAGATTCAAAATGTTTCAGAGTTGTTTTATGAAAATATTTCAGTTCATATAATCATAGGAGTTTATTTACAAATTTAAGACCGAAATTTGTAAAAAAAAAAAAAAAAAAAAAAAAAAAAGACTATGTTCAGAGAATATTGTCATAGAAGTTTTGTTAAGAACTCTTATATATATAAATAAAATAAAATAAAATAATCACGGTAATGTTTTTTTTCAACAGCCACTGGTAATCTGATCGCGTTAGAAATTCTAAGCACAGTGGCCGTCAAGTTTATAAACGATAATTTTGTACCTTACAAATTAATACAATGTATGGTGATACAAGGTTGAAATGCAGTTGCCTCCACTTGTCTCATGTGAGCACCACACACACACACACACGTATGATGCCCTGCTGGACTACACACGTCCAGCACCAGAGCCCCTCGCAACCATAATAAACACAGCGTTCGTCAGCCACCCAGACGACTCCCTCGTGACGTCACACATGACTTTATAGACTAATTGAATACTTCAACTTTTTTACTTTTCATTTAATAATAGTGTTTTTATAAAGACAAAGAAGACCTAATTAGAGTGAATACTTATGAAGGAGGGGAAGAGAACGAATTAGGATATACCCATAACGTGAGACATAATCAGGAAGAGCTATGAAATAGTATCTGCCCGAAACGCTGCGCGTACTAGTGGCTTTACAAGATTGTAAATACTATGCTATGTATTCTCACAAACCCAATGTACCTTCTTGTTTATAAATAAATAAATAAAATAAATAAATAAATAATGAAACACCTGGCGTTTCGCGAGCGCTTTGGCATGAGTTCGTATGCTGATAAATCCTCCAAGTAAATCTGATGGAGGATTTACTTGGCGGCGCCAATCTTCAACTGTACACAGATCACACCTTATAACATTTAACTCGAGGCCTAAAGCCCCACCTAAAGCTCCACACCCTAAGGATCCGCATCAGGAAGGCGAAGTACTGGCAACCAGGTTTGCAGAAAGAGCAGCCAGCAATCAGCTTCCACCAGGTGTATTAGCAGTGCAGACAGGATTAGAGGAAGAAAGGTGCCACAGAATCCTACAGCATGTGCAGAAGTCTCTAACACTAATGTTCCTTTCATACTGGATGAGCTCATTGCTTAGAAAAAACTCCAAGAATACTTCCCCTGGAGACGACAAAATAACCTATAAAATGATTAGAAAACTCGGCCCAGAAGGAGGCGCTGCATACCTTAGGTTAATTAATTTAGCCTGGACCTCTCAAATTAGACCTACAGCTTGGAATAAAGCATAGTGCCGATCCCAAAATCCAAAGATTCAGTTAATCCCAGACCCATCCAGAATATTCATATTCCTGGATTTCGAGAAAACCTTTGAACTGGCTAGCGCCCCAGCTATTCTCTGCTGCCTCATCGACAAAAAGTTCAAGGGCAACCTGCTCTTCTGGACCAAAAACTGTCTCATAAACTGAAAAGCAAAGGTAAAACTTCATGGCAGAGTCTCTGAATACAAAAGACATGAAAATGGAACACCACAAGGAGGCATTCTCAACCCCCTTCTCTTCAACTGTTTAATGGAAAGAATTATGAGGTTGAAACTCCCACAACACTGCAGGCTGCTAAACTACGCGAACGATTTTGTCATCATCATAAAAAGAAAGGATACGGCGCACCTTGCACCCAAATGCTTAGCCTGCATCAGTGAAGAGGCAAAGCAGATTGGTATCAAACTCAACCCCTCAAAGACAAAAGCCATGTCCGTAAAAATAGCGAAGTCCAACATCCAACTCACAGTACAGGCCCGGGTCAACCAATTGAATACGTGGACACTTATCAATATGACACACATATGAATTTTAATGCTGAGGTCATTTGAAAGAGATAACTGTGGCTCGGACGGCAATTCTCAGGTCGCTAACCTCCCTCTCTGGTGGAGCCAATTTCCAAGTCCTTCGCACATACTATGTACAGGCAGTCAGATCAGTGATCGTCTATGCCGCACCTGCACTCACAAGTCTATCACAACAACAGTGGAAAAGCTTTAAGTTGCCCAAAACAATGCAATGAGAGCTGCCCTGGGATCCCCGATGTGGACCAGGCTTCAAACTATAAGACTGGAAATGGATTTGCCCTCTCTAGTTTTTTAGTTAGTTTAGTTCATATATTATCCACCCCATACCCATGTTGTGGGCGGTAGTGGAAAGGGTTACAGAGGCACATAATGGGCTCAGGGATATATATATATATATATATATATATATATATATATATATATATATATATATATATATATATATATATATATATATATATATATATATATATATATATATATATATATATATATATATATATATTGGTGTATACTGGCAGCAGGTTTTCTTTCAAACATGTTTCATTGAATATGACCGCATATTCTGTATTTATTATTTTCTGGTTTAGGGCTTCTATCCCTCTAACTATTTTCTTAGCATCAGTCAATTAAGCCCTGATGCTAAGAAAATAGTTAGAGGGATAGAAGCCCTAAACCAGAAAATAATAAATACAGAATATGCGGTCATATTCAATGAAACATATATATATATATATATATATATATATATATATATATATATATATATATATATATATATATATATATATATATATATATATATATATATATATATATATATATATATAAATATATATATATATATATATATATATATATATATATATATATATATATATATATATATATATATATATATATATATATATATATATGTTGAGCGCTTTGGATTTGTAATCCTTGGGTCCGGGTTCGATCCCAGGCGATGGCTGAAAGAAATGGCCAGAGTTTCTTTCACCCTGATGCACCTGCCACCTAACAGTAAATAGGTACCTGGGTGTTTGTTTTGTACAGTATTGTGTATATATTTTTCCCTATTTTATAGCTTTTTTCTACTTATTTCTGATTCTACAATCAGCTTCTTTTATGCAGTCTAGTATAGACCCAGAACTTAACCTCTTATCCACTATCTATGACAATAATCACTTTAATGATCTAAATTGCAGATATTTTGCAGCTCATGATGTAAACAATGTATTAACTCATAATCACAATATCTCTGTAATCAATTTGAACGTTAGATCTCTAGGTAAACACTTCGATGATGTTAGTGCCTTGATTGAAACTATTGGCAACAAATTCTCTTTTATTATACTTACTGAAACATGGTTGAAAGAGGATACTACTCAACTCTTTAACATGCCTAACTACTCAGCAATTCACAACTGTCGTCAACTTCAGAGAGGTGGTGGCACTGCTCTTTACTACCACCAAGAACTAACATGCCTAAAAGAAATTAGAACTAGAGACTGCTATGGGGAGTATATCTTCGCCAGCTTCAGAGTCAAGGGTGCCGAGTCTGTCCTGTCTGTGGGTGCAGTCTATAGAATTCCCAACACTGATGTGTCTGTATTCAACTCAAACCTTAGAAATCTAATACTTGATAACAGACTGAACAAAAACCACCTAATTATCGCAGGGGACTTTAATATTGACCTCTGCGAGCCAGAACACCCTACTGCTGTTAGCTTCCTCAACTGTATGAATTCCTGCCTCCTCATACCCTTAATCACTAGACCTACTAGAATCACTGATAGCACTGCCACGACTCTAGATCACATCTGGACCAACATAACCTCTCCGCTTACTTCAGGTATAATCACCGATAGCACTACTGACCACTACCCCACATTTCTCTTAACTAACATTAGCAAACCACCTCTAGAAACAAGGGAGTTAAGCTTTAGGCTGCACAATGAAACTGCTATAAACAATTTTATAACTGCTGCTGATAATGTCAACTGGGAGTCCGAATTAGGTAACATAGGGGACATCAACCTAGCAGTGCAATCTTTTCTACAAACAACTCTTAGCCTTTATAACACCCACTGTCCTAGGCTTACAAAACAAGTCACAAGCAAAAGGCTTAACAATCCTTGGCTTACAAAGGGAATACTGAAATCCATTAACAAAAAACACGACCTTGAGAAGAAGTATAGGTTAGGAATTGTCTCCAAAGAATTCTCAAAGAATTACTCATTATTGCTAACTAAGATAATTAGACGAGCCAAAACTAATTACTACGAAGATAAATTTACTCAAATAAAGAGCAACATTAAACAAACTTGGAGCACAATTTCACAAATATTGGGATCAAAGAAATCTTTAAATAACAAACCGACTCTCCTGTCTAATAACGATGGTCAGCTTTCAGCCTCTGATTCTGCTATTGAGTTCAATAGGTTCTTCTCTTCCATTGGTTCATCCCTTGCAAATGATATTCCATCTTCCAGTACTGACATTAAGGACTATCTTACAGGTAACTATCCACAGTCTCTGTACCTAAAGCCTATTAACTCCACTGACGTCAATGAGATAATCCTTTCCCTTAAAACCAAGTCTGGTGCCCTTGAGGAGATACCAACTTTAATTTACAAAAAAGCCTCCAGATCTTTAGCCCCTGCTATTGCTTTGCTCTTCAACAAGTCACTTGAACTCCAAACCTTTCCAGATATTCTAAAAAAAGCGAGAGTAACGCCTGTCCACAAATGTGGTGACCCCACAGATGTTAACAACTACAGACCTATATCAATCCTGCCAAACTTGTCAAAAATTTTTGAAAAACTTATATACAAGCAGCTTTACTCATATCTAGCCAAACTCAATATACTTAGCCCTTGCCAATATGGCTTCAGACCCAAAAAAGCACTAACGATGCACTTATTAGTATGCTTAACTCGATTCATACAGCTCTTGATAAAAAGGAGCTCCCTGTTGGGTTATTTGTGGACCTGCGTAAAGCTTTTGATACTGTCAACCACCAAAACCTTCTTCTTAAACTACATCATTATGGAGTCAGAGGACACTCCCTACAATACCTCGAGTCCTACCTTACTGACAGGCTCCAATATGTTTCTGTGAATAATACAATTTCTCCCACCCTACCCATCAACATTGGTGTTCCTCAGGGCAGCATACTTGGCCCTCTCCTCTTTCTCATCTACATTAATGACCTTCCAAATGCCTCCCAACACCTCAAACCAATTCTATTTGCTGACGACACAACCTTCATTTACTCCAGTCCTGACCCTCTTGCTCTAAATGCCACAGTAAATACTGAGCTAAATAAAGTCCATCTTTGGCTAACTGCCAACAAACTCACCCTTAACATTGACAAAACCTTCTATATTCTGTTTGGCAATAAATCCTCTAGTCTTATAAATCTCAAAATAAACAATACCCAAATTTGTAACAAATTAGATGGCAAATTCCTTGGCATTCTCATTGACCACAAGCTGAATTTCCAGGGACACATTCTAAATATATCAAAAAAAGTTTCAAAAACTGTGGGCATTCTTTCTAAGATCAGATATTAT